GATTGGTGGATGGATGGATGGATGGATGGATGGATGGATGGATGGATGGATGGATGGATGAATGGATGAATGGATGGGTGGGTGGGTGGAAGGATGGATGGGTGGATGGATGGATGGGTAGATGGGTGGACGAATGACCAAAGGAGTGAATGGATGGATCAACAGAAAAGATCGATGGAGGAGTAAGGGTTGGACAGCCAAATGGATGAATCTAGATGGATGAAAGGAGGGAGTATGGAGGAACACACAGATAAATGCATTATGAATTAATGGAGGACTGATGGTTGAGGGATCAGGGACATAGGGATGAATGAATGCATGGATAGATGAATCTTTATTCAATCTTTGCAGGAGTTTCAGAGATTTACCCAACGGTGTTGGTGATGGGTGCATTAGGGCGATGTGGACATGGAGCTTTAGACATTGCTAGGAAACTAGGAATACCAGAGTAAGCGAAGTACTTAAGTACAGTGACTCAGATTTCATACTTCGCATTTGCCGAAAAACTAAAATAGAAATGTCAGCATGGGTCATAAAATCTTGTATCACATCAGTTACATCATCAAATACTGTCAGTCAGGTACCTGAATCATGTAACATACATGAGGTAAAGGGAATTCACCTTTTCAGTGCTAGTCCTCATGCGATATTAATAGTGATGAATTGTGTTACAATCACCAAAACATTCTGACATTGTCCTTGGATTCTCATACAAATCCACTGACTTTAAAAAGAAAGTTCTGATTGATTTCTTTAGTTAGCTCTCTAAACAGGAGCAAGGAAAAAGTCATTCGAGTTAGAAAAATGATATTTTGCTCGTATTTATAAAACTAGCTAAATGAACCAAGTATTAATGATTTGTTTGTAAGTCAGTACACTCGTACGGAAATCAGAGAGCAATGTCCAAACATCCTGGTGAACGTAACACAATGCAACACCATTTATACCACATGATGGCTAGCACCAAAAAGGTCAATTCAAATATTGAATTGATGTTACTTGTGGTTAAGACTGTTAAGAGTGGTCCAAAWTGATGTGAGTTGCAGTCAAGATGGGTCCAAACAGTTCAGATCTTCTAAGCCCTCCCTTGGGTCTATGATAAAATGGTGATTACATCTGCTAAGTCAATTCTTCCTTGCACAGGTCTAACCAAATAAAGTGGGATCTAGAGGAGACTAAGGGTGGAGGTCCCTTTCCACAAATACTCAAGTATGATATATTTGTCAACTGTATTCTACTGTCTAAGGTATGATGATGTAGTGTTGTATAATATAAACTATGTTGCAATTCCTTTCATCTGTGGGTGGTTTAAAGGCCATTTACACAGTGGCATTGGAAGGAGATGAAGGGAGGCAAATGCCCCAACCTCCTCCCCTCCCCTTCCCTACCCCCTGTGTACGAAATTTTTTTTACTAAACTGGTGGGAAACTCTAAAGATAAAATGTGTGTGCATTTGTTTTAGCAGTTAACAACCCCTGCATCTGCGACTGTCCCAATGGCTCAGTTTCATACATGACACAGTTTGCTTGGAACATTGCCTTGTGCATTATCTCCTGCATGTTGCTGCAACTGCAATACACTTCTCAATACACCCAATCCCAATGTGAATGCTTGAATGCTGTGTTTCTCAGCATATGTATGCCAATTACGAGCGTGATGATTATGTTTTACAATGCAATTGGTGCACAGGTTCTATGTATTCTTTTCATTGGCATTATTAGGGGCAAAAGTTGATTGACATAAATATAAGAATTAAAAATCAAATCTTTTGTTCAAGTCCACATGGTGGCTTTGGCATCACATTAACCCAAGAACTCAGTGTTTTATCATTTCTCGTCTGACAGAAAATCCCTCCATTTTTAACACGAGAGATGCTGGACACAGATGAAAGGTAATGCCGTATTTTGAACTAAAGACCCTTAAAAAACTCATGGACATTACCTTGAATATTTTTTTCAATCTTCTTAGGAATCTCTCCCTTGTTGTTGATGTAAGCTGTGACGTCAATAACCCTGACAATCCACTGCCATTTTACGACTCTGCCACCACACCCCAGAATCCTGTGCGAGCTGTTGATTTAAGGTACAGTTGCTAATATTATCTAGTACAAGTAGACTATGTAATCCACTCTGTATCTCAATGTTTCCTCACTGTAGTTCTACCTACTACTAATGACACTTCAGGTACTATTGTGAAACTGTAGTCAATAACTATGATTGACAAAGGGCATGTTGCTTTTGATTGGTCCATAGTTGAAGCCATTTGAGTGCCATGACCTTATTTGCTTTTCTTGTGCATTTGACACATCATTGTCCATACTTGTTTTTCCCTTTCAGTAAATCAAGCAAGACCCTTGAAATTCTGTCTATTGATTTCCTGCCTTCCTTGCTGCCACGAGAAAGCAGCATACGATTTGCTGACAAGATGACGCCATACTTGAAGAGACTAACTAAGGTAAAATACTGTTACGCACATTTGCTTGTCAAATTTATTGTGATTACAACTTCTGTTACCTTCATTGACGCTATCCGATACTTACCATGTGACTTTCAGTAAAATGCCCACGTCCCATGTGACCACGACATGTGCCAATCATTGGCTTCGCCAATACTTATCACATGACTTAATGTAACCAATACGATGCCCCACGTGACCATAGACCAACATGTCATCATTCTTGCGCATTATTTATGATGTCTTTTAGTTAATATGTTATTTTTCTTTTCTAATTATACAGGATGATCCCGACCCAGTGTGGATACGAACCAAGAAAGTATTTGAACAAAAAGTACAAGAACTGTGCAGTTGACAGCGAGGATGACAATTCAATCAATGTTTTTTAACGAGTTTAATTCATAATCTACTCAGTCACTTTTAAAAATAATGATGCATAATTTAAAAATTATTCCTATATATTATTTTTTATCAGTCCTTACGAAGAACGGATTGTTATAACGAGCATTTTATAAATCAATTTATAATAAAGCTTTTTTCATAGGAAACTTTATACTAGCCTTAGTGCATTTCAATCAGGAATAGTCATTTAAATTTTGTTTTTTCCTTCGAGAGAATTTTAGTCCAAATGCATTTTGTACCAATGCTTTCAATATTAAAGACACTCTAAATAAATATCATAATAAATAGTCTTAAAACTAAGTCGTCCTCGCTAGTTTTGAAGAAATAGAAAACGCGCGTGCGAGTGGTGTACATTTATGAAGCACGCGGCAATCTGAGCAGAACACGGGAGAAGTGTTAGGAAAAGCACCACACGTAGCGGAGTGCTTCTTGAATGAGTTTTGCTAATCCAAAAGTGCTTTATAACTGCACACAGCGAGCAAATTCCATTTTATTTCTCTTAGAAAATAGAAATTATGAACAAAACCGTTATATTGTAGTGACGCAAAAGAAAGTGTGCACGTGTGCTGTGTGTTCTCATAATGCACGCAACATTTAAAATATAGGAGTAGCATGACGCGCGCATGCCGACATTTAACCAAAACGCAGTTTCCATGCTAAGCTTGCTTTATTTTGTCTACAATAAATAATGGTAAAGAATTTACTTGTAAAGTTTTTTTCAGGATACCAAGATTTTCCTAGACGAATGTCTCTTTTGAAGGATGAGACAAAAGATTTCATATTTCCGAAAATTGCCACAAAAATCGCAGTAAAAATCGCCGCAAAAATCGCCAGTGTAAACGGGGCTTTAGAAAAGTACCGGTGAAAATGAGGTTATCCAAATATCAATGACTTATCTGACAATACCCATGTTTACATTTAAATGGTGAGACGAAACTTTGATCATTAAACCTTGATAATGGATTTTTGCGTTAATTTTCATTTTAAATACACTTTTAAAATCTGTCTTACTTATCTGTCTTTATCGTAATTAACGAGAGAAGTTGTCTCGTTGCGAGAAGTCGCAGGCAAGAGCGATGATTGGATGGTTAGTGTGTTCGGGTTCTGCTTACGAACCAGGTTCTCCAGCGTYGTCGAGTCAAGACCAGAACAACGAGTAGACAAACACATGACAGGAAGAAAAGTGCATTGAAATAACTTGAGCCCACTGCAATAAAACAGAGATAAGCATGATAATAATTATCGCCGAAGATGGAGTAAAACAATCCAATAAAAAAAATATTTATTTAAGTGTATAGTTCTTCTAGCGCTTTCGCGCTAATTGGGGACACTTTTTCACTCACGCGCACTACCACTACATTCAATGTTTCAAAACCTTTTTCGTATTAATGACAAATATCGTCCCCTTTCCACGGGCTCCAAACAACAAACGTACAAACTCCGCGTGATGCGTCTAGTAGGGGTGAAATTACAACTAAACACTCCTCCCAGTTAGGACCTGCGCGGCAACTTTACAAGGCGATAATAGTTCCCCTAACTAACATTTTATATTTAGCCGGAATCTGCGGCGAAGCGCGATAGTCGCGACCACGTGCCTCTCATTTTYCCCCCCAAATCTGATCATTTTCTTTATTTCACATGAATGATAATGATCCGTATAACTAGGCATTTTGCGCATTACTCCAAACTGCATGGCACGAATAGAAGTCGAACTTGATCCTTGCTGGAAGCTTTGCGCGTAAAGTCACCAGCGCAGACAGGGAGACCTGCGTCACTGCTTGTAATCCTGAGGCGTGTTTCAAAGCCTTTGCTCGCTATTTCTGCTAGAGCGGAGTTGTAGAAGAAGGTTTATGAGTTTCATGTACGTGTAAAGCATGGAGGGATGTAGATTCAGTTTTAGCTGTGTTGAATTATAATCTTACCTGCGTACACATGCGCTAACACAGGGAGCTTTCCTTTGTACCCAACAGCTGTAATACTTCGTACCATGTGGTTATACTGTAAAAAAACAATATTAGAAACATTGAGAAAGCAACTGAAAGTCAAATAAAATTGGTCAAAAACATGTGTTCGCGAGTTTTGAACTTATTTTCTTTAAACTTCAAACTTCACAGTTTTACTGATCTTAACATGTTCTTCCTTACAAATACGGTAATTATTCTTCTGGTTTACTTATACTTTTCTTTCCACCCCATAAAGCTCATTATTTTGAAATTAAACTCAAGATAAGAAGTCGAGCGGAAACTCGTTTGTCCCTCAGACATTTGACGAATGTAAATGTAATGCGCTGTTGTATAGTTGATGTAGAACATGTAGTTGTATAAAATGCATCCGCGGGGTCTTCCTGGATAAGAAATGTTTTGCGAAAGATGCGGTAATGCGGGGAACAAGACCGTAAATGTGTATGAGAATATATATGAGCTATATATTTGTACTGCGGTTGTAATGTATCCAATTGAGCTGATCCTCAGGAAAAAAAGACAGAATTTTTTTCTGAGTCTTTCAATTTGCAGCTACATAAGTTTCTAGATATACTGCAGGGATCATTTCAATTCCATATAAGACCGTAAATGTTGGTGCGCAAAATTGCGCAGTGCAAATTACAAACGCGCAGCGTACAATAAATATTCTTTGTTGCRCAAAGAGGATATGCTTTCGATTCTAATCTCTTTGCAAAAAAGAAATAAAAATGTGGTACGCGTGGAGTAAAAGAACGACGAACATGCGTTTTGTAAGATTCAAATTGGACTTAACAAATAAATGAGCAAAAAGCTACTGTTATTCATAGCGATTGCTAAGACTCAAAACGAAAAAAAGCACACTAAAAGCTGTTCACTTATAGAGAGCAAATGCCGTTTACACCTGTTCCTAAAAACGTTGGAAGTCGGTGATCTGAATTGGGCGATAATTTCTTGATGTATATTTGAAACCCCAATCTGGGGATTTTAAATTTTCTCTTTTGAACACTGACAACTAGTTTTGATGCATTTTTTAAAAATCCTACTGCTAAGAATTCACTGCAAAGGGTCGCGAAATAGAAAAATTTGCTTCAAATACACAGTGTATACCTGATCTGTGACGTAGATGATTTTTCTTTCAGAGTCAAATGCAAGGCCAGTTGGATGAAAAAAGTGTGCCTTGGTTCCATATCCATCATCATACCCCTCTGAATATCCACCAGCTATTGTTGTGACTTTACCTAAAATAAATATCATTTATACGTCAGTCAAACCTCTATTAACCAAACACTCTTGGGGAATCTAACAAGTGCTCGATAAATAGAGGTTGGTAGTTTAACAGAGATACAAATTAGTGCAAAGATCCTTTTGAAAAGCTATGACTGCTAAATAAGCAGAGACTAGTCGTTCAATAGATATATATATATAAATTATTGCTAATACCCTCTTTGGAACTCTGAAAAATAACTGCTCAGTAGAGATTAGTCGCTAGGAGAGGTAGAAACTAGCGCAAATATCCAAATTAGGATGGTGACAACGGGCGGTTATTAAACAGTACTAACATATATGTGTATATTATCTTACCATCCAAGGTGATCATTCGTACGGCGTTATTATCCTAAAACAAAAAGAAAAGAACAAAATATACGATATTCAGGTGTCACGTCAGTAACAAAAGCACGCGCGCGGGTCGGTAAAACAGAAGAGAAATGTTAGAAAAAATACGACGCATAGCGAAACTTACAACACCTTTCGAGTGTTCTGCCAATACCCAAAGTGCTTTATAACTGCACAAAAACCAAGTTTTTAAAATACTTTTATAAAATGATGTGAATAACGAAACAGAAAGTGCGCGCTTGCTGTGAAATCGCACGTTCCCAGCCAATCAGAACGCGAGATTTATAACAGTTTAGTATTTTATATTGACATTGTGTTGTTTTCTAATTCCTTGCCATATGGCTTTTACACGGTAGCTAGCTGGGGTTTAGTTAGGAAAAGGCGCCACGTTCCTCCTCGATGGCATCCCATGACACATTGTGTCCAAAGGTTGTGCCGTTAATGATAGAGCGGTTTTTGTATGAGTGGGAAACAACACGGGAAATTATATGTATATAATATACTGTTTACTATACTGTAGCCATACCGTAGCTTATACGGTAACCAACTACGCGTTGAGATTGGATAAATTACTGGAAGACAATTCAATGAGAAGCCATTTCAATGACACACCATTTCGTACCATGCATGTGCTTTAAGTCAGTACCCCAGTGTTACCCACTCATACGAAAACTATTCTAGTAAGCCATTTCAATGTTACGGGCATGTAGTCACTAGAAGATTATTTAAATGAGAAGCCATTTTAACTATGTTTGAATGTCACAGCATATCGTACAGTGTGCGGTAAGTCGTTATCCTATATGTTTCCCACTCATACGAAAACCGCTCTACTGTTGTGGTGTCGTCGTTCACTTGTCAATCACAATATTATTCTCCCCATTTGTATACGGTTACATAGATTTTTTATCAGTAAATAGAATAACGACCGTCAAGGGAATAACATATAGCCTGAAATGGAAAAACATCTAGCCCCAGCCCCAGCTGAAAAGGTAAACTTAAAAGTGGCATAAACGCAAGTCCGGTCAAAGCAGTATGTCAAGGTACTTACAAATTCCACCACGTAGAGTATCTCGTATTCAGGATCATACGCGAGTCCCTCGGGATAGTTGAAACGTGCTAATTCTCCTGTTCCATCCAGAAACCCTTCTCTTCGTCCACCTGCTAGTGTAGATACTTTACCTGCAGACATCACATTACAACAGTGATGCGTGCATGAATTAATCGTGTTGATATGGATCTTTATCAAGCAGCAGCCATGTTGACTAGAATAATAGCTTTATTCTACGTAGCCTCGCATTCAAGCGTTTCATGATGTCACTATAGCTAGGCGCGGTTTAATCCAGTTATTTTTCTGTACAAACCGCTCATGTGAATTGACTTGTTTATGTTGTCCATACATTAAACTAAATATTCGTACATAGGAACATAAATTTACATTGTATAAACCATATGTATGAAATATTCAGTGCCGACTTACTGTTCCTGATGTCAACGATCCTAATCACGTGATTATACTGTAAAGGAAAAGAACACGTCAATCATTTTAAACATCCACACATGCGCAGTGAATCATACTATAGGTAGATCAACTACGTCAATAGGTCAACACACTAGACATGGGTCAATCAGCTCAACACACTGGTATACCCAACATAGACGCTCCTTAGTAATGGACCAAATCCATTTGGACGTAAAGTGTTTCTGTTTCAGACCACGTGTCATTCCCTAGAGTATCATTTCGCTGTTTAACGGTTGCGCGTGAGAAGACACATGAATATGGTTACATCTCAAACAAAGAATATTATTCTCAAGGGAATGACACGTGGTCTGAAATGGGAAAACATTACACCCGAGTGGAGTTGGTTTATTTGATCTGCTAACGTTACTCAAATCTTACATGATCAGCAACATAAAGAACATGACTCTTTTCGTTATAAGCAATGCCAGTTGGATGGTAGAACTTGGCTCGTTTGCTGTGACCATCTTCATGTCCTTGGTTACCACCAGCCAGCGTCTTCACCATACCTGTCATGCGTAAGAACGACATTACTACAATACATACCTTAASCATAACACTTTAATTCTTACTGCGCATGTTCAACTAGTCTGAGCGTTGCGTGCGACACTAAAAACGGATGCGAGGGATACTAATGTTCAACAAAATATGCTCAGTGTTCAGGGGTCGATAGTGGAGCATACAGTAATCGATCGTGATTTAATGAGGAAGATAACGATAAGAGACATTTGTTGTGAAATGCGATCGTCAGGGTGAGTGTAGTCTTGAGAAAGACTGTTGTTGGTGGTGACTGACGTTTTGACAACCTGAACCGAAGTCATCTTCAGAGTCTAGTGAGAAACCACACCAACGACAGTCTTTCTCAAGACTAAACTYAACCGACGATCGCATTTCACGACAAACTTCAACACCTGGGTTCAAACCATTTACTCTGATAAAAGACATCTTACCATCCTTTAGAGAAATCACTCTTATTGCATGGTTGTCCTGTAAAAATATTTTTAAAAGTCTGTTTTAAAGCAGTAATCTCAAGTAGTTGCAGTAATGCATGTGCGTAGGACGATACATGGATACATTCGTGTGTTACTGCACGCAGGTATTGAGCCAGTTTATCATGAACTAGATCACAATAGACCTCAATTACACCATCAACATCATCATTATCACCACTATCAATAATAACCAGATGCAAAATAGACCTCTTTAGCTTGCGCGTAGTTTTCCTATTTCAGGCCACGTGTCATTCCCTAGAGTATCATTTCTATGTTTAACGGCTGCGCGTGAGAAGACACATGAATATGAATACAACTCAGACAAAGAATTTTATTCTCAAGAGAATGAAATGTGTTCTGTAATGGGAAAACATTACGTCAAAGGTAAAGAGATATCCTTTGTAAAACAGCGGTACTTTTTGTTGAGTGGTCAGTGAGGTCCTTGTTATTCAATAGACTAATATTTATCACTGAAACCCCTTCCTCCAATATCATTCAATGATCATCAATCTATTCACTTTACCACGCGAGGTACTCAGACACAAAGCAATATTCCCCAACACTTCCATGATCACCTTATTTACCTCAAAGTTATTCTCCCTGCACCACATTGATACTTGAAGTTCTCACCCTTACTGCATACAATACGCAGCATTTACTCTACCCCCTCCCCCCACAGTAAGCCCTTTAGCCCTGACCCCTCCCCCCAACTTCTTACCGTATCACTGAGATAAATTATTTTGTTCCGTTTGTCAATAGTCACAGCTTGTGGATTCTGAAATCTTGCTTTAGTTGCAGGGCCATCGACAAACCCAGACTGTCCGTCACCAGCGTAGGTCGTAACATCTCCTATAATTAACAAAAGAGTGCAAGAGTTAGTTTCAGTCTTGCAGTACTTGAGGTCATTCACGATTCTACGATCCCTAGGAAAAACAATTAGGTTTGCGGAAACATGATCGTTCGGTGATAGTTTTTTAAAAATTAGATTAAGAATTTCTCTGAGAAAGACTGTCTCAGACATTCAAGCAAGGGTATGAAGACCGCATATCAATAACCGAACTCATTTACAGCCCTCTAGACTCGAAAATATTACGTTTGTGGAAGAAACTGTGAAATGATCTTTTAGAAAACAGTATCCTTTCTAAAGTCAAGGTCTCTTGAGTATTTAAAACATGCTTTTGTTTTGAATCAAGGGGATTTTTCGTAGAACTTAATAGCATTGTTGAAGATTGAAGCAAGGTGTGCTAAAGAGTTAAAAACATTTACAACTCCCTAGCACTGGAAAAGGCAGGTTTGTTGTAAAACGGGGTGATGGTGCATGATCATACAAATAAGAGGTTGAATGGAATGGTATTAATGGGAAACCTTTGCTTGTTATTCAAGGTACTGTTTGTCCTTTTTCCTTCTTTCTATGGCCCTCTTTCCCTTTCCTTCTTTCCCTTCCTCGCTGACCTTTTCCCCTTCTTTTAAAAGGGTCTGTTAAGGGATAGCTGATTATAGGCTGGTAATGTTTACAGCACAAGTGGTAAAATACACAATACATATATAAAACTACTACATAAACACTAATTCAATCGTCATACCTGTCTTTAGGTTCACTTGTCGAATTCTGTCGTTACCCTGCATAGATTCGGGGAAACAAGCAAGTGATTGTTAGATTTAAAAAAACTTGTCATCGCTAATCACCACCCGCAAAGTACGCAACTCAACGGAGACGAACGGAAAGCATTTTGTTACAATTATAGCACGGTTAACACATGATGAAGCTATAAGCGCAGCGCCATTGTAGCAGAAGCCATGGCGGGAGCATGGTACCAGCCTCGATAAATAATGCAATACAAGATAAGCATTGTAAATTGCGTGCTTTTCCTAACACTTCTCTCACGTTTTGCCAACTCCCACGTGCTTTATCTGCACAAAGCGCACGCGCACCTATTTCCGCTTCGCGTTTTGCCACTCCTGAAAGTTCTCTCGTGTTCTGTCAATCCCCGTATACATTATAACTGCACACAGCACGCGCGCGCGTTTTTTATTTCTTTAATAAGAAATATATGGCTATATATACCGTATAACCATAGGTATCTTTACTCAAGGTATATCATACGTTATATCATTATCATGAGGTCTTGTTACCATGCGCACGGGGTATGCAAGAGAAAAATCAATGTACATGGTCACGGTTAATGATAATTAGAGTAGATTTCGTATGGCTGATGTGAAACGCTCACTCTGCGCTTACTCTGCGCTGTCTCGGTCACGGCAAAGACTGGACCCAAAACACCCAGACATAATATTTTCCCATTTCATGCAAATAAGAAACGAAAATATTCCCTTTTTTTAGTTGTATCCATATTCATGTGTGTTCTCGTGGTATTTTCATGTGCCACCGTTAAACAAAGAAATGATACTCTAGGGAATGACATGGTCTGGAATGGGAAAACAATGTATTAAGATTATTGGCGACATTCTTTGGGCCAATCACAGCGCTCGATATTCATGTTTAATCAATTAGTACGAACCAACAGGGTACCGTCACGGTCCCCGCACCGCACGTTCAAAATAGCCTTGAGTTAATCTTATAAAGTCATATGAAATGCGCTCTAATAGAGCGTTTTCACTTGATGTCACAGCGGCCATATTGCATAGTGTACCCAAACAAAACGTTTTCTATCCTACGGAAATTGAACTCTATTTTTAACTGTGCAGAAAGTTTCTATCGTTTGGTACACCAATATGGCTGCCTTGTCACGCGAGGAAAAACGCTCTATAGACCAATCAGATATCATGTTAGGAACGATCCTTACCGAGTCTACAGCATACATGGTATTAGTACTGGAATCTATTACCATTCCTAGGCAAACAAGAAAGATACTAAGAAAAAGCATTTACTAAACCTTCAAACCTTGAATATACATCTGGGCTGATCTAAGTCAGGGCAAGGCTAACTCACAGATCAAACCCTGAAATGACCTCTGGGCTGATCTAAGTCAGGGCACGGCTAACTCACAGATTGAACCCTTAAACAACCTCTGGGCTGATCTAAGTCAGGGCACGGCTAACTCACCAGATTAAACCCTGAAACAACCTCTGGTGATCTCTGGTCTGATCAAGGTCAGGGCACAGCTAATTCACAGAGCAAATTGAAACTTTGCTTGTTATTAGGTTTTAAGGAGGGAGGAAAACCGGAGAACCCGGAGAAAAAGCCTCGAATCGAGGGAGAGACCTAACGAACTCTACTGACATGTGACGCTGATGAGTCTTGCTACTTAGCCAATGGTTCACGCCTCGTCAGTTTGAATCAAAACTTTTATAGTAATCAARATACGTTAGAATAATTTTTCAGTTTCATTACCTGAAATATGTCTAAACTGCGCTCTCTCTCTTCGCCCGTCACGGTAACCTTTCAAACTTCCTGCAAGGGACGTAACTTCACCTGTACCAACATATCAAGCAAGCAAGCAAGTTAGTAGGTTATCCATTAGAAATAAGTGTCGATGTCACAGTGTGCAATCAATCACTCAGTCCTTGTAGTTCCTCATCCATATATCGCGTCATTTAGTCAGTCGGTCAGTCGCTCAATTCCGTTAGCAACAATAAAAACCATAATGTACCTGTATCAACTTTAATTTTTCGTATTCTTTCGTTTGCATTGGTGGATAGTATGCCTGGACAGCTCTAGAAAACGAAACAGGGTAAGGTTAGCAGCAAACCTTAAAACATTTAGCTCATAATCCATAATTGCATTAGAGTGCAGTGAAAAAAGTTAACTAACAATATAGTGTACAAATAAGTGCAAGGTTTTGTGGGCCTATCTTCTATAGGGCCCGGGTGTGTATAGTTTATATCGAGAAGGTTTTTAGTACTTACGCAGTCCCCCACGTATATAGTATTGTCCTCGCTATGGTAGGTTATACCCCAGGGGTAGTTAAACCTGGCATTAGTGCCAAACCCATCGACAGCAGTGACGCGGTCTTGACAGTCTGTTTTGGCGCCTTTGTGAGGAAAACCACCTCCCGCCACTGTACGTACATAACCTGGTAAAACAAAATCCGGTGAGAAAAAAGAACGGAAATTAATTACTTGCAGTTATATGGGAATGGATGGATGGAGGGATGGAGGGAGGGAGAGAGGGAGAGAGGGAGGGAGGGAGGGAGGG